TTACTACTACTACTACTACTACTACTACTACTACTACTACTACTACTACTATTACTACTGCTACCACTACATGTACTACTAGTACGACGACTAAATACACATGCATTTACTACTACTGCTACCACTGATATTTTAAATGAGAATTCTCAAACCCCGAACCTTTGATCTTTAATATACAGAATTATTAGACAAAGTCCGAAAAGCATTTTCCTTTCTACAATTTGATACCGATAAACATATAATTTAGCTATTTGATGGCAACGTGGGGACGACGAAATACAGGCGGTACAGATCAAACCGACACATTGGTTTTTTTATGTTTCAGAGGTCACAACGTTGTGTGGCTGATTGTCTTTATTTAAGTGTATTGGAGTATCGGTGTTTCCAGCCCGATTCGATCAAACAGACATAATGAATCGCACAAGCCTGGACTCCGCTTCAAAAGGAATTGTTGTAGCTTATTTTGCCCCGCCGTCGACACAATTGTGATCTTGTGTGAGAAGGTTGACTATTTCGACATTGCCTTTCAAGGCTAACTCAGGCTGTGTGAGGGTATTATACCAGCCGACTTAAAGTAAAGACAGGAATACTGCATAATGCCTCACATTTCAAATGAACAAAACGTCTTTAACATGCAAGGTGGGAAGCTTAGATACTACACAAGCATCGGTGGACCACCCGTTAATGTCTGGGGTAGAAATGTAGATGCTCATCTGAGATAATGTATCAAACCAAGCAATCTTGCATCAAACGCATAGAAAATAAAAACAGCAGCAACAACAACATATAAGTAAAACAAAACAAAACAAACCCAACAAAACAAAACGCCCCCAAAATGAATAAATCTGTCCCCGTGGTTTTATGCCCCCAAAAAAAAATGAAATTATGCAAAATGAGCCCAAAAATGTGAAATTATGCGATTCTGTTAATTTACACAAAGTATGATAAAGGAAAATTATCTAAAATTAAGCAAAAAATTATTAAGGTTTGCTAAATTATGCGGGGTGCATAAAAAAACCACGGTGACAGATAAATAAATGAATAAAACAAAAACAAAAAGAAATAAAACCTTAGATGATACTGATACATTTACTAAGTTAGAGAATTTAAACTTTCATTCAAAACGTTGTTGAAATTTGAGTAGAACTAGTAGTAGCAGCAGCAGCAGCAGCAGCAGTAGCATCATGCTAGCAGCAGCAGC